TGATGACTACAATAGATGTACATGAGTAAAATTCTTAAGACGCGACAATGAGTCCCATTTTGTTGTTTTTAGTATTGTGCAAATAAGTACAAGTTCAAAAAGACTTGAAAATTGCAATCATTATAAATGATCATGGTGGGAAATTGAAAGTAAGCCGTTTGAAATAATTTATGAAGAAAATGTATTTTCCATGATTTCTCATGTCCTATAAATCCATAACAAAATTGAGTTCTAGAAAGGAAAAATAGATCTCTTCAAGAGATGGTCAAAACCATGATCATAGAAAAAAATGTTAGATAACACTATTGGGAAGAATTTGAAATTACAACATGCTATATTCAAAAGAGGATATATATTATACATATATTGAATAAGACTTCTTATGAACTGTAGAAAGATAGAAAATACAACATTTAATATTTCCATCAACTTTGTTGTATTTTCTCTGCACTAAACAATAAAGAAGACATTAACTTATTTAATTCAAAGGCACAAATGTGTATCTTGTAATGATAAGTTGAACGCTTTAGAGCTTATAGGTTGTATAACAAAGAAACCTTGATTGTTGAAGAAAAACTCCATGTAAGTTTTAATAATAAAAAGATTGACTAAGATACATCAAAGCTAGTTGAAACTTTTGCGAATACCCAAATATTGTAGAAACCAAAATAAAAATCCTCTATAGAAAAGATTTTTTGAAATAATACCTTTACTGATGAAACCTCTAGTGAAGATCTCACTAATAAAGATGACTTTGGTGATGCAGAAGACTATGGAGAAGAAGCATTTGGTGAACTAGATGATATTAGTGGCTCTGGTCCTAGTTATCAATAGAAGAAGATATAATACCATAGTATTTTAAGAGTCTAGAGTAATAAATTAAGATATTACCATCAATGCTGGATATATCAAAATAACATAGTTACAATTAGACTATTACGCATATAACATAGTCATAATATATCAAAACATAAGTACACATAAAAAATAAACTAATTTTTCTACCAGGTCACCAGTCCATCTTCTAACGGCCTTTTTCTTTCTCTTTCATGTCATCTGTTTATCTAAAAAAAGAACATCAACAACATGACATGAGATAATAACTTAGTGGGGATCCTATCCAATCACCAAAATTCTGCATGAGATCGACTAATAAAAATTATTGATCTAACTCAAGCCTATCATTAACTTCGTACCCTAACAAAAACTAGAGATACTCAATACCTCCTAATTTGTACCAAGATAATTCATACATCCCATACATTATAGAAATTTCATGCTAATCACATATCCCTATATACTCATAGATCATGACCATATTGGTCCCCCACAACCGAGCATTGTGTTTAGATTATCAACATCCAATTATCACACTATGAGAGCCAAGTTTTACAACCGAGTATGTAGTTTGGATCATTTATTAGGACATGCCCACCTTCTATAGGCATCCTACAAACATACAACTCCCATTACAAGGATTTATGTCATATACCACATCGTACTCGTACAATATCAAGTCACAACGCTTAATTATACTATGTATGGTATGTCTTAAACTATTGTGTTTCTAGCCTTTAATTTTAGGTGTTTACATCTTGGGAGGTTGTATAATCAATTAAGTTCCTCCATTTTATCACATCTTATGGTAATTTCATTCTTTAATTTATAACAATTGGTTAAAACTCCTTTCCAATTAGTATTCTTTCATAATCCATTATTCATAAATCTCAAAAACATTCATCCATAAAAAAGCAAGATTTAGGTTGTATAAAACAAGGATTTACACAAACTCCTAACAACAATACATTTTATTCGTAGTATCCACTATGGATGTAATGGACAAATGCGATCCTTTCGCTCAATGGTCTCTCTTAGGTATAAAATTTTAAAGCCTTCTATGGCCATAGCAGGACTAGGTCCTCCCAAATTTAATGTTGGCTCATCTATGGTAAAAAAAATCCATAGATCCTTATGGGAATTCGTTCTCTTAACTCTTCAACCTCACTATAACCTAATTTCACTTTATTGCTAAGCATGTTCTTGGTATTAAATCACAAAAAAAAATTGATCACAACTTATATATCATTATCAAACTCATACGTGTGAAGACAAGTCTCTTAAGACGATATTTTGATGAAGACAAATATGTTAGAAAGAAGAGAAATATTGTTTCATGTTTAAGTCAAGATTGAAGAACTAAATTTTTACAAGTTTGGTTTTGATCAAGATATGATATCTCAAGCATCTAGTTCAATACTTTCATCTAAGAATGATACATGTCTTGGAAAACTTCAAACTTTCTTTTTACAACAATATATTATCATAAACAAAGAATAGATTTGATTGAATGGTGGAGAAAAGGTCATTTGAATTGGTTTGATTGAAATTTCATCATAGTTGTTGGTGTATTTTTGAAATCAAGGAAGTGATATGCTTCTTTGTTGATGTTAGAATATTGTAAGAGAAGTCTTAGTGGTAGGCTTATAGAAAGATCTAACAATGCTAAATATCTCTCATAGAGTGTGAGAGGACTAGAGTACTCTTGTTTGGAAAGAGGAACCAAGATATATCATTGTGTTCTTTACTTTCAGTATTTATTTTTATACATTCTAACTTTTAAAGTTCTTCAAAAGTTCTAAGAAAAATAAGAACACATGAAACATTGTCTAAAAATGAAAAAAAAAATACTGTTAAATCTAATTCAACCCCTCCCTCTTAGATTAATTTTCATACTTACATTTTGAATCAAATCATGTTATAGGTAACTTACTCCTTAGATCTAGAAGATGGCTTCCGCAAATCCGATTTTTAGAGATGGTGGTAGAAACAATAAGTCTCCTTTCTACTATGGTGAATATTATGATTTTTGGAAGATCTGTATGTAAGTACATCTTGAAGCACCAAAAAGGAAGGTTACTTGCTTTGAATGTGGAGAAAAAGGACATGTTAAAGGTGAATGCCACACACTTCAAAAAGTTTCATTGAATGAAAGATATTTTAAAAAAGTATCAACATTGATATCAATTTTGACTTCATACGATAGTATTATGGAGAAGATATGTCCTCTAATGTTTAATTTTTCATATGTATAATTGAACCTTGTATGTGTTTCTACTTTCATATTTCACCCATATTTCTCTTCTTTTTGATAATATCAAAAGGGGGGAATGATTTATATGTTTGTTATTTTCTTGTTTCTACTTCACTCTAGGTATAAAATTCGATCAACCTAATGGACTTCAAAGATTCATGAACTAAGGGGGAGATAATTAACATAGGGGAAGCATATTCAAAAAGTAATAATCATTAACTTTCATCAATAACATTCAAGTATTTGTCATCATCGAAAATGAGGAGATTGTGAAGACAAGTCTCTTATGAAGATGTTTTGATGAAAACAAATGTATTATAATGAAGAGAAATATTGTTTCATGTTTAAGTCAAGATTGAAGAACTCAATTTTCACAAGTTTGATTTTGATCAAGATATGGTATCTCAAGCATCTAGTTCATGATTTTCATTTAAGGTGATATGCAATTCATTATTTATATATATTAAGTGCTCAAGAAACAATTATGCATTTTGATCATTCAAAAACTTATTTTTTTCTTGGAAAAATTTCAAACTTTCTTTTTACAACAATCTGTTGTCATAGATAAACAATCGATTGTTATAAACATGTTTTTAACTTAGAATTTATTGTTTTTGCTACAATACATTGTCATATTAAACAATCCATTGTCTTATTGCCTCTGCCTAAACTATTTTTCAAAACCAACTCAACAACAATAGATTGTCATTCCATAACAATAGATTGTCATAGTATAGTTTTTTGAAATTTTAACGTTGCAACGATAGCAAAAGTCTATTGTCTGCCTTGAACAATCTATTATTCGTGAAGTATCATGAACTTTTATGAACTTTGACACACCTTTTTACTACCTCTTTTCATGACATCCTTTCCCTAATCATTGCATCAATTTTCTGAAGATTCTCTAAAGTTTTGCCATGATTTTTCAAAAGGTATATTGTGCCATATAAATAGTAATAAATTTCATATTCAAAATATTATTTTAGATATTTCATCATTTAAAAAATCTCTTAATTTTGAAGTTATTTCACTTAACTTTTTTATAAAAATTATTTTTAAGATACGTTTTTTTTTTAAATTATGATTTCGACTATGTTTTAGTCTTCAATAATATATATTTATATTATAGAATATGAAAATTAATCTTTTAATTTAGAAAAAATAAATATAAAAAAAATTTAAAATATTTAAAAGACACTTTTATAAAAATCTATTTTTAAAATATCATAGAAAAAATTTATTTTTTAAAAACTAAAACAAAGATGTTTTTTCTAAAATATATAAGCTCAATCCCTTGAGTTATAAAGTCAAAATATGTTAATATAAAATTGTGTTTATAAGGTAGATATATAATCAAACACATCAATGCCGTTTTTAGTCGGAATAAAATCAAGTGAAATATTTAATTTAAGATTGAGATTAAAAGTAATACATAGATAATATAAAATAATTTTATATTATTATTTAATAAAAATTCATTATTAAGTCATGTTAAACACTTAATTTAAAAATATCAAGAAGATTTAACAAAATACATTATGATGATTTGTTGCCAACCTTTTTTTTATCTTTAAGTTTTTATATTGAAGTTGATTTGTAAAATTGAAAAAGAAAATTGTGTATTTGATTGTCTGTGAACCCTTTAGACTAAAAGAAAAAATTTGATTTTTCCTTAAATTATTTCCAACTTTGACATAAGCTTTCATAAAATCCCTTTTTCAAATTTCATTGTCACAAGTTACTCCCAATTTTCATAAGAAAAATTATTACATTCCAAGAGCAAAAACAAATCATAGTGGTATTATTACAATCAAGTTTAAAAGGAATAAATAAGATGAAAAAAAAATTTTACAAACCAACTCATGGCAAGATAATTGACAAAACTAATGGAAGTTCCTCTCCATAATCTTCAAACTCTTTTCTCCAAGTAAGAAGAATCTAGTTGTACAGGATAAAGATCAGTGGCTACTGAAGAAGAAGTTGTAGCAGTCCATGGCCCTTCCATTGATATACTATGATCTTGATAATATTTTCGCATTGCTTCCATTTTCTTCTCGTCCAATACCTCACTCGACTCTAAAACCAGTTCTTCAATTTCAATTCTACCTTCTAGCATGCTTACCACTGAAGACATTGCAGGCCTAAGTGATGAAGTCACATTTGTGCATAAGAGGGCTACATTTATCATCACCATTGCTTCTTCTTTCTTGAAATTTGAACCCAATCTTTTATCAACTAGCTCTAGTAGATTACCTTCTTCTTTCAAGACATGAGCCTGGTAAATAGAATAACATAATATGAAAATTTTGATTCCTAAATTTGAAGTTAAGAATAATGAAATAATTAGATACTACTTTTGCAATTTTTGGTCTCTATTTGTGGTTATTTAAACTTTTTATAGTAATAGTAATGATTAGTATAGTCAAGATCGAGTGCTGGATAAGATCCTTGCTAGACAGTGCTACGATAAAAGAAAGATTGTTTTCTTCACTGGTGTGGTCAAGATCAAGCTTTTTAAAGCAAGATCGCGAAAAAGTGTGGCGTGCTAATGGTTCGAGTTTTAAGATCATTCACAAGCAATCGATTATATTTAAGATCTCGTGCTTAACTACATTGGTAATGATTTCTTAAGACAACTGGCATGACACAAACACAACAACAAAATACTTACCCAATCAAGAAGATGGAATGCTTCTTCTTTTTGTCGAAGAGTGGTATTGTTACTACCATGTAAGATTTCCAAGGCAACAATTCCAAAACTATAGACATCTGCTTTGTCGGTCAAATAGCCATGCATAGCATATTCAGGAGCCATATATCCACTGTATAATTAAAAAAATACAGCAACATGAACTTTAGAAATCAAAACAAATCCATTTTCTTTTAATACCTTGCACTATGGGCAAAGTCATTAATAGATTCTATCTGATTGACTCTTACGATACTCTTATGTTTGTTTCAAAGATCGAGTCGTGCTTGTGAAAGTATGAATTAATTCAAACTATTTCTTGATAAAATAAATTTAAATGTAGAACTTACTATGTCCCTGCTATTCGAGTGCTAATGTGAGTGTTCTCTTCTTCATCAAGCTTCGCCAATCCAAAATCAGATATCTTCGGATTCAAATCTTTATCAAGCAACACATTCGTTGCTTTAATGTCTCTGTGAACAACTTTCAATCTTGATTCTTCATGTAGATATGCTAAACCTCTAGCAATACCGACACAAATCTTGTATCTTGTTGGCCAATCCAATCTTATTTGCTGTTCTTGAGTCCCTTCATTTGTGAAGTGTATAGATATTAAAAAACGGTAACCATTTAGTCATAATTTAAAATATGCAGAATATAAATTACGATCACCGTTGGTCATTTAGAAAAATTACCGAATAAAGCACGAGCAAGACTATTATTTTCCAAATATTCATATATTAGCATTAATTGATCTCCCTCCACACAACATCCATAGAGTTTAACAAGATTAGGGTGCTGCAAAGCCGAAATCATGCCAATTTCGTTTAAAAACTCGCGATTCCCTTGCTTTGATTTAGAAGAAAGTCGCTTGACTGCTATCAATGTTCCGTCAGATAAACATCCCTGTATTTTGAAGAATGTTATAAACCAGATACATTGTGTATTCAATGAATTTAAAAAGTAAATTTTTTCTTATATAACAAGCAAGATAATTTATTAATACCTTGTATACTGGACCAAATCCTCCTTCTCCAATCTTATTGGAAAGATCAAAGTTATTTGTTGCTCCTTTGATTTGTCTTAGGTTAAATAAACTCATTTGTAGGTCTAGACCCTTTACCTCTGTTAATTGATGCAAAATAAAAATTAGAATTAAATTAACTAGTCTCAAAGTTCTTATAACATGACACGTTATTAAAATACTTTATTCTTGGTACAGGAAAAGTTTTGATTACCATTTTCTAAAGAGTTTTTCTTTCCAAAACAGCCTTTCCACCGAAGTACACAAACTAAGAGAATGATAACAATTGCTACTGCAGCCACAATTCCGATCACGGCTCCTGTAGATATGCTGCTGCTTCCATTTTCAGGTGGAGGTGGAAAATCTGCAAGAATATTATACAATAGTTTGATCAGATCACAATATCAAGATGGTTTTAAACTGTAGTCCGCAATAGTAGTTGCGGCCGCAATATAAAGGTTTGCAGTATAACTGCAACTGCGACTGCAACTGCAATTTAAAACTATGAACTTAGGAAGTATAGCTTACCGGATTCAACAGATATAGCGGATATAAGAGGACCATATACTGATCTAAATGGTATACTAGTTGTCCCTTTTCCAGCCCAATATAAGCGAATCTCCAAAGTACTGTCCGCCACAACAGCGGTGAATGGTATTCTTACTGCCTTACCGATTCCTCCGGCTTTTTTTGCAATATTAAAGTCCTTTTGTACTAGATTTCCCTATGACATTTCAACTCAAATGTTAATACTTCACACCGATAACAAGCCTAAATATAAGCGAATCTCGAAAGTACTATTAGCCATGTACCTGAATATAGATATCGAAAACACGTCTTCCTAGGCTGTTATAAGTTTGATCATCGGTAAACATGATTTCGGCAAAATGTAGATTAACTGTGTAGTTTCCATTTCCCAGGCAAAATCCGTAATACGTCAAAGACGTGGGAGAAACTCGTGCAGTCATGAATAGTTCAGCATTGGCCATAGAAAGCGCAGATTTATTCGACCATGTATAATAGTCTCCACCGTCATTATCCATGAAGTTACCGGTGGTGCTAAATGCCCAATTCTTTGTTCCACTCTGGTGGAATCTAGCTGGTCCTGCTGCATCTCCATCATCATCATATGAGCTTCCATTGACTGTCACTGGCTTTCCACCACAGTTTATATGTAGAGCATACGACGCTGGCGCAAGCAAAATAAAGTGAGAAGTTTCATTTATGAATTCCTTGCATGCCTTTTGAAAATGTTGAAGCAAAAATGAAATCTTAGTAATCAATATGAATTTCGCTACAAAGAAACTTACTTTTAGTACAGACAAAGCTTGTCAAACAAGAAACCTTTCCGCTAGAATAATGACAGAGGACAAAATAAGTTAGCATAATCTCAAATAATCAATTCAAGATTCTTAAGAGGAAATGAAAAAGTCTCATACATTGAAGAAATAATGCAGCATGTATAACAGAAAACTTACGAGTCATTGCGGGTCAAAGAACTAGAAAACAAGTTCCTGTGAAACATAAGAAATGGTTGTGAATCAAATAGGTTTGCAATTTTGGTAAAAAAAAATGCATATAAAGCCGAGAATTCTTACACATTTCCATCTTGACATGTCTGACTTCCTTGGCTTTGGCTGAAGTTGTTGTATGAAATATCTCTATATAAGAGTTATAAAATTTCATTCAGAATCTTATAAGTCAAATAAAGATAAAAAATAATGAAACTTTTAGGAACTCTAAAGAATCATATAATTAGCATTTCAAAGAAAACTCACAAGTTATCAGCTTTTTGTGTCCATGAAGGAACTGGTCCAGTGAGAAGGTTTCCAGTTAAATATCTGCATAAAAAATAATGTAAATAATTCAATATATAGAATTTAAGGACTTAATACTAGAAGCACTTGTGGGATAAGAGATATTCTTACATGTAATCAACTTTTCTTAAGGGGTCATAGTTATTTGGAATTGGTCCACTCAATTTGTTAAAGCTGAGATCTCTGAAAGCAAAACATACCAACGACGAGTTTAAAAACCGCATACGAGAACGACAAAAAAAATATTTAAAAACATAATAAAAGAGAATTTAACATTAATTGAAATCAAACAAGAAAAATTATGGAATTACAAGTTTTTTAGACTAGTCATTGATCCAAGATACTGAGGTAGTGTTCCATTGATGTTGCAATTCCTTAGAATCCTATGAAACAAAGATAGATAAAACAATGTATTATGAATTTATGAGTACTTTTTTAATACAATCTATTTCTTTGAGTGAGTGCAATCAACTCACAATGTTTTCAATGTCATATTACTAAGTTCCGGAAAACTTGAATGTTCAAATCCATTTAAATCACTGATTCTCCTGCATTAATTTCACATCAAATTCACAACTAATTAGTAAATAACAAACTTAATTTTGAAACATTGTTTACTAGATATAATAATATAATAATATAAAATATCATACATACAAGTCATTTAATTTTTCCAAAACTGAAATTCCAGAAGGAATTGGCCCACTTAATCCACTCGCTTCAATCACTCTGATGAAAAACACACAAGTTAAATTCAAGAAACTGATGAAAAACAGTTAAACTAGATAAAATAAAACAGAAAATAAAAATCGTTACAGTTTCTTTAGACTTGTCCAGCTTCGAATAAAATCGGGTATCTTCCCGGTGAATTGATTGTCTCCGAGTCGACTATACATAGTAAAATTGTGTTTGAAACAAAGAAAAGTTACTATATGTTCAAAACAAATATTCTATAATTTAGTTATTACTTTACAATTCAATAAAAAAAAATATGAATCTTACATATCTTGTAATGTGGTGAGTTTGGCCATTGTAGCAGGTAATTCTCCATTGAAATTGTTGGAAGAGAGTAGCCTAAATATAATTAACAGCAACAAAAATTAGAGACGGAATAAATGAAATTCGGCTCTAATCTCTTTAATAGAGATTTAGAGGTGGCTGGGATAGTCCATCTGTGTTGTGTGTTAGTTGAGTTAAATGAGTGTAACTTGTTGTTATAGAGTTAAATATTTATTTATATTTATAATAAGTTGATATTTATAAATTTTTATCGTAGTAACAAATTTAGTGACAAAATCTAGATTTTTAGTATTTAATGGATGTAAATGGAAAATGGAATAAAATAAATGCTTACAATCTTTGAATTTGGGTAAGTTTCTCAAGCCCAGTAGGAAGATTTCCAGAAAATTGATTGGATTCCAATACCCTGTGAAATTCATGTTAAAATGGCTACAAAATTTAATTAAAAACATAAATTGAAAAAATATGATTGAGTAGAAACTCACAAACTTTGTAGAGTGGATATGTTTGTTATAGATGTTGGTATTGAACCAGTTAACCGATTTCCAAGGAGAGTGCTGTAAATGGTTAAAAAACATGTTATCATTATTCATCTTTAGCTTTTTTATTACATATAAGAAAACAATTATAAGAACTGAAAAAAATAAATAATAAATAACAGAAATCATACATGTTAACGAGATTCATGGAGCCCCATTCTTTAGGAATTGTACCGTTTAAATAATTGCGGGAAACATCACTGTAATAGGTTGAGAGTAATAATAATATACATTAATATATATTATTTTTTATTCAATTAATATACATGGAACTGTAGTAAAAAATAAAATAAAAATACATAAATATAAGATATAATAATTGCATAAAAGAAACTTACAATTCTTGAAGATAAGGCAACCTGACCAATTCTGGTGGAAGAGTGCCAGGGAGATTTTGACTTTTCAAGAGTCTACACATACATTCATAAATTTTACAATAATTATCCTTCATGATTTTATTATCATCCAAAGCATACCCAATATACAAGTTGAGAAAAATACAGAGAAGGGTGAAGAGATTTACATGCTAGTGACATGACAAACAGTGGCATTGAAATAGGTACAGTTGCATGTGACAGCATTTTCACTCCCTTTTACTTGAACAGAAGATGTCCAATTTTTTTGTCCACTACATGGATCTACACTGAAATCCCAATTCTTCTTTCCAAGTGTCTTAGCAATATCTTCAAGAGCTTCCACTACAATACCAAAAAAAAAATGTTAAATATCTACATAAACTATATATAATATTGATATGTATGTGAGTAAGAAAAATAACCTTCATCTTTTGAGAGAGTGGCTCCGGAAACTAAGGTGGTAAAGAAAAGAATTATGAAGAGCAAAAGAAAGAAGAAAGTAAGGAAACTTTTGTTCATGCTTGTTGATATGATGACAAAATACAAAGCTTCAAATTCAGTAGCAGAAAGCAATAGTTAGAGATATATCATGTAGATAGATATTCATACAAGAATATGAAAAGACTGAAACTGTAAACAGCTTGTTTTTGGTAATGAGAAATGAAGAAAAACTTCAAATCCGAATAGAGGTCAGCTTTGTAGAATAATATTATCAAGCTGTCAAAAACTTTGTTTATAAACAAAATGTGCTTCTGTATTAGATTAAGACAGTCAACTCTTGACATGTTGCCCAATTGTGCAATTTTATACTTGGAATCTCATAATAGAGTAATACTTGGATATAGATCAGTTTTTAATGTAGTTAGTTGAGAAAAAAGACAAATAATGATGAATTGAAAATAAGTTGAAAACAAGGACCAAGATCATTTCATACTGATATGTATGTATATGTAGAACCAGTTGGTGATGACAGTTGTGACTATAACTCTACCTGCCACACACCTAGTTGTATAATATTCTACTAATATTTAAATGAATAAAATATATTAACTTTATGACTATGGCAGTATAGCACCCGGTTCTTAATGAAAACTAGTAATATAATACACATAAAGCCAAGGAATATACATAGAAAGATTGGTATTGGAAGTGAAACAAAGGTTTGCTCCTACAGTTTATGCATTAAAAGCATGGACTTTATCTTTATTTTATGAATGGAAATGGAAACTATTGTGATGAGAGAAAGATGAATTTGAAGATGATGAAATTACTGTGGTGTCACATGGCCATTACTTGACTTCACTGCTGAATAAGGACCCACCATATGGGTGTTTGTGTAGATATACAAGATCCATCGTTAGATTTGTTTTCTTGTTTCATCAATAATCTCTTGGAAAATAAAAAAAGCCACGGTTTTCAGGTTTTTTTTTCTGAGAAGCTAAGTCACGGGCTCTGGCTCATGTTACGTGCATGTACCAAGTACCATGATTACTTAGTTTGCTACATGATTTGCAATTATTGGATGTCAATACTGTTCTCATCTATTTTCATAACCAAGTTGTCTCAACATTACTGCTTATCTAGATTAGAACAAGCTCTTCATGAGAGGATAAATATAAGATAATATAGAGTGACATTCGTCATCTTATAAATTGGTTTTGTAGAAATCAGTTAAATCAAACTTAATTCTATTATCGTATCACGAGCTTTTTGATAAGAGTCAACCATCATTTATATATGTGTATCAAGCTCATTAGTGTCACACATAAGAGATGTATTAGAAAAACCAAGTCCTACATATAGATATTTCGGATCACCCACGGCTTATATGTCATGTGTCTGTTAAGAACAAAAATCTAATCTTCCATCTATATCGCGATTTGTGTGTGTATTGAAGGATTGTTCGTAATTATTTGGTGTATTTCGAACACTTTGTTTGAAGGTAAAAACTCAATTTAGGAAAACAATTCGAATTTTGCATATGGAAATTCTATACTTATCCACATCATTCAAATCCTTTTTAGCTACTCATGGTATCATAAATGTGTCTAGTTGTCCATACACTTCACAACAAAATGATGTTGTTAAGCAGAAACATCAACATCTAGTTGATACGGCCTAGGCCTAGACCATAGTGAAAAATACCCACTACATGTTATTTGATCAGCCACATGCCTTAGTATTGGAATAATGAGATTTTACATTTTCTCTTATTTCCTAAGAACTCCCTATATTTTGTTTTTTCGAGTGTTTGACTCCACTTGTTTTGTTCATGATTTTTCTCCTGTTTGCAATAATTTGCTCGTACAAGTGGTGTGTGTTTAGGATATTTCAGAGTTTTAAAATGATAATTGTGTTATTTCCAAACACTTTGGGCTGGTTTGAGAGACTTAACTCACCATTACTCAACTTTGGCTTCAAAACAAGTGTGATCCATCACTATTCATACTCACAACACCATCTTATTCCATTTTTATGTTGGTTTACGTAGATGACATTATTGTCACCAATATCTCTTCATTTCATGTTCAACAACTTGTCATTATGGTGATAAAATTTCTCTTGAAGTGTTGGAGAACGTTTATCATTTTTTGGTATTGAAGTTTCTCACATCTCCAATGGCAGTTTATTTTTGTCATAAACCAAATATATAAGATAACTTTTTTGCAAGACCAATATGCATGAAACGAAGGGGTTATCTACACCTATGGTACCTAATCTAAATCCATTTAAACTAGGGTTGGATTATCTCAATGATCCAACCTATACAGATTTATTATTGGAGCTCGCTAATATCCACCATAATTAGAACAAATATTAGTTTATATCAGTTTCTTTGTCTGCCAAATCTTATTTCAACCTCTTGAAAGTAGAGGTGGCAATTGAATCCATTAAGACAAAATTCATCCAATCCATCCATCAAAAAATCCATTTAATCCATCTACCACACAAAAAATAAGTTAATGGATTGGATTAAATCCATCCATTTATATGCATGGATGGATTTAATCCATCCAACATATTTTAAGAATTCAATGGATTATTTTTATTTTCTTTAAATTTATTTTTTAAAAATAATTAAAAAAACTATATTTTTTTTTCTGAAAAAAAAAAGTTTAATTTTTTTTCGAAAAAAATCGATTTTTTTTTTCAGAATAAAAAACTGATTTGTTTTTCGAAAAAAAAATAAATTTTTTTCTCAAAAAAAAAACAACTTTTTTTTCAGAATAAAAAAATGATTTGTTTTTCGAAAAAAAAAATTCTCGAAAAAAAACCGACTTTTTTTTTGAAAAAAAAAATCGGTTTTTTTTTTCAGAATAAAAAACTGATTTGTTTTTCGAAAAAAAAAACGACTTTTTTTTTTGAAAAAAAATCGGTTTTTTTTCAGAAAAAAAACGTATTTGTTTTTCGAAAAAATAAATAAATTTTTTTCCGAAAAGAATCGGTTTTTTTTTCAGAATAAAAAACTGATATATTTTTCGAAAAAAAAATCGATATTTTTCAAAAATTAAAATATCAATTTTTTTTTAAAATACAAAAAATTTAGTTTTTTAAATAAATATATTAAAAAATAATTTTTTTTTAAATACAAAAAATAAAATTTTCAAAAATAAAAAAATATATTTATTTTTATGAAATAAAAAAAAAATTTGGATGAATTGGATTGGATAATTTTAAGAAACATTTTCTGGATTGTTAATGGACTAATGGATTGTTTTAATCCATCCATTAACAATCCAATCCATATCCATCCAATCCATCTATTTTGCCACTCCTACCTGAAAGTCATTGGACTGAAAGTTCAACGAATTCTAAGATACTATAGGCACCCTGCATCATGGTCTCCTTCTAAACCTTGCTCCATTGTCCAAACCATTGAGCATTATTGCATTTTGTAATGTTGATTAGAGAATTGATCCGGATGACTCGAAGCCCACCTCAGGGTCATGCATCTATCTTGTGATAGATCTTGTGTTTGGGGTCTGTTGCAAAACATGAACAAGAAAAAGATGATGAAGACGGTACGATGAAAATTGCACAAAATAATTACAAAGCGTGTGTTTATACTAAGGTTTAGAAAACTTGGATGCATAAATTCGCCCCCACCAATTTATGCAAATTAGATGCAAAAAGGTTAACCGACGAATCTCCTTCGAAATACTTTGAAAACTTTAACATGAATCTCACATTCACATGAATCACACTAAGCTTTACACAAAATAATTCAAATGCATAAATCACCCCCACCAATTTATGCAAATTGGATGCAAAAGAGTTAACAGAAGAATTCTCTTAAGGATATTTTGGATGACTTCCAAAACATATGCAAGTGAAACCATATTACCACAATTACAAAATATAAACAAACTTTTTACAAATAAGAAAATGAGTTCATTTCAAGATATAAGAAAAGGTTCTATCTATCATCTCTTAAAGTGATGGGAAAAGCTCATTTAATCTACAATGTAAAGAATAGAATTCATTATTTCTAACATCTAATTCTGAACTATATAAGCTAAACTTCTCCCACCATTTTAAGCTACTGTCATTTTTAGCTGCATCATCATCGCAAAAAGGCGTGAGATCCAAAATTAGAGCAACCAATGTATCAACTATTATATGTGACACGAAGATCACACTTACAATATCATATTATTGTATTCAAATTTGTTGAAAATCATTAGTTGATAATCAAATAAATGAAATTTCAATTATTAGTTATTTTTTTGGTTGAGATTTGAATGTACCTTACCCATCTAGGACTTACTTGTTCATGTTTTGCATGAAAATATTGTGGTATGGAGACTCATAAGAAGACTGAAAAACCTAATACAGATTTAGTTCTGAAACTGTTGAAGTTACAGAATTGGGGAAAACCAAGACTAGCAGAAGCTACATTATTCCAAATTATTAAATATTGTTAAGTTATTCTAATATATATGATGGAAAAAAACATAACATAATTAAGATTATTATCATTAGCTTGAATGAATGAACTTACACACAGACGAATAATAAGCAATATAATGATATGTTATGATTGGAAAAGGAACAGATGCAAAAATTGCTCCAAATCTTCCTGGTTCAAAAGGAATAACAATGAGATATATCATCCTATAACTAATATCATGTCTCCATAACAATGTTGAATTCGTGTTCGGTGTAAAAGAGTACCAAATATAGTAAACCTACATTTTCCCTGAAATAAGAGTTAAGCATAATCATAAAAATCAGCGAAAAGAAATTAAGGAATGTCCTTTAAGTGATCAAGTCAACAAATCTCGGTACCAAGAATTCAAGAAAAACAAACACAAGAAATTAGGCTAAACTTACATTAATGATGTAGTTCCATTAATAAATTTGTATATCACAATTTCAATTTATGTAAAAGAGAATTACAAGATATTCAATCCTATCACCCAACAAGCTCCACGGATGATAATAGAAGGTGGAACTAGCTTGTCACTTTCATATCTTGTAGCTCTTGGGAAAGTTTTTTAAAAAGTGAGCATTGATAT